AAGGGTTGGCAGCGCCTGTCCTAAAGCAATGTTTTTCTCTTACGTTGTTACGTGGCTCATGCAATGCCGATGCATTTAATGGCATGCAATTCAACATAGAAGCCGCCCGTGTAATAGGTCAACGTTTTGCAATGCGATTTTAGTCACGGAGGGCCACAAGGCGCGATTCTTTCTTATCCGAGGATGCCATCGGAATTTTTAAATGTATTTTCGTTTATTATGGTATAATAAAGTTGATATTGAGCTTAATATGGAAAGAGCATAGTGGTGTGCAATGTTTGCATGTTTATTTTCTAGCAAACTATACTGAAATAGAAGGGATAGATTTTTTGTAAATATCGACTGTGGTATCTTATAGATACACTTAAAATATTTGCTTACATATGTTTAGAAATATATTTTTGTTTACTATAAATTTAGGGACCGATTCTGTCTCATAACAGAAAAATGTTATGGCAAGGCTATGTTACGCTCCAACTTCTATACATTATGCTACTGTATCATACTGAATACTGTCAAAATGGCATGTATTTGCTGTGCATTTAGGCGTTTTACACATAAACTGCATCGTCACACATATGTTATGGAGCTGAGTCAGAAAGACCGTGTTATCTAAGATCGTTTTTTTTTGACATTTTTGCGGTTTCTAGGCTAGGTTTTCTATCTGATAACCTGTGAAATTCGCCTGACTGCACACTAATCACATGGCTTTTGTCAATATTTTGTATGGAAAGTTTTTCATAACATGGCCTTGCCTGGTCCTTTAAATGATAAATGATAAAATTATATGTCAATTATCGATTATATGTAGACCATTAATTTTTCTTAATAATGAATAATTTTGCAATTTTTGTTCCGCAATAGATGATCTAGGAAATTGTGTTTGAAATGAAAAGCTTGAGTGCATAATTGTGATATGCAAGTCATATAATGATGAAAACGTGTAAAAACATTCTCTCACCCTGGATTCTAGAGCCTATTAATTTCAATGCACTTTATCGATTTCATTATTTGATTGGTACTTTGTTGCCTTTGTGGTAAATACGAGATTGAAATTGATGATGAAAATGTAAAGCTTAATTTACACAATCATTTTAGTCGGAAATAAGACTTTTAACGGTAAAAGGAAATATAAACAACTTATTATTGAAAATTCTTAAAAATATACGATAATTTGATGTATACGAGAATTTTTGACCGCCAAATGACTTTTTTTTAATATTGTTTATTAGATCTTTAAAACTACTGGTCATATCTTCCCAAAAATTCTAGTCCAAAGAATATGAGTTCTTCATTTAATCTGTGGTCAATGTTAATTAGTTTCGTTGGCTGACTGGTATTTGCCAATATTGGTATGACTAGAAAAATATCCACATTATATCCCTTCTTCAGTAAAATTTTCTTCTAAACTCATCTTAAGTAAAATGTTTTTTGAATCATTCAAATCGGACGCTCCGTTCTTTCAAAAACTAAATTGCCATTGTTGAACTTTTTACCAGTATCTTCAAACCGGCTCTACCTGCCTTTACCAGAAACTGATTGGTACGTCTTTCTATCAATACAAATCGAATGTTTTTTGAATAATTCAAATCGGTTGATTCGTGTTCCCAAAATCGTCGACGAAAATTTGTATCCGCACACAAACAGATATATAAATTTTTCCCAAAGTATGCCAAAATGTTCAGGAGACCTTGAAACGTGATGATCTGAACTTCCTTGAAATGTACATATGTCTAATGATCATTTTTGATAGCTAAATGACATTTTTAAACTTGTTTATGGAATTTCCGAAACCACAGGTCCTTACTTCCTAAAAAATCAAGTTCAAAGAGAATCAGTTGTTCATTTCGTTAATACAAGTAAAATATTCTTTGAATCATTCAAATCGGAAACTCCGTTTTGTCAAAAACTGTATTGTCTTTGTTGACGTTCTTGGAAGTATCTTCGGAACAGTCTCCCTATCAATACAAATCGAATGTATTTTTAATCATTCAAATCGGTTGATTCATGTTCCTGAAATCGTCGACGAAAATTTGTATCCGCATACAAACAGATACATCTATTTTTTCTCAGGTATGCCAAAATGCTCAGGGGGCCTTGAAACGTAAAGATGTGCAAAAATTTTCATTCTCGAGGTTGTTTCGGTTGCTGAAACTTACGCTTATAGCAAGTTAATAAAAAACCTGATGTCAGGTTAATCAAAATTAGCATGTGGCTATTTGAAGAATGAAGAAATTTTCATATATAATTATGATTTGTTTACTAATGCGTCTTAAAACCGTTATATTGTTTCGAAACTAGTTCAATGTACATATATAAATTAGCAGCTTTGTGATTAATTGTTTAATTATTTTCGTCGGTTACCATTGATTAATGAGAGAAACTAAAACAGATTAAACAATTTTTCCCATTAATAATATTATATAACAACTCAAATATCAAAAGTTAATTCACTTCTCCTCGTGTGAAATGAGTTCATAAAAGCGATTGACAGTTAGAGCAAATTCATTTTGCAATCCAATCTCGAACGCTTCATAAACTTCACTCCTCCAGAACAAATACTTGATGAAGGACACTCAAACTACCGTAACGTTATAATAATAAATATAAAGTTCATTAACACGGCGCGAATTATGAAGATTTCTTGTAAATGTCATCGGTGCTGTATGTGCAAGTAACGAAATTGCTTTTGCATTATATCCATACTGGGAAATATTAAATGCGGTGCATTTATTATTTGAATGGATTTCTTTTTCGGTGCAATTATGGACGCATGGAATGATATTGTGAGAGTATCGGCACCAGAGGTGGTGGTCAGGAAACTTCGAATTTATTATGCTGAACTTTCTGTTTTTGTATATTTATCAATGTCAAAAGATATACGAGTGAGGAATTGGATAATTATGGTCTCGTTTCGCATTGTTATTATTTACTGGTAATATAATTCTCGTGTCATGGTGTTAGTGTCAATATTCCTATGAAACGGCTTGACCGATTTTTAAAATCTTCTGTAAGGGTTGGGGGAATATTTTTTTCAAGTTTGACTTTTTTATAATTGGTGACTGAAAAACGCATACAACCCTAAATTTTTACCCTTCTGCCACAAACCCCCATTTTGTAAAAGTTATTGTAGTAATAAGATAATTTTTAACTTCTCCTAGGGTAAGTTATTGTAATTGTCCAAAAATCGAAATTGAAAATTTTTACATTTCTTCACGTTTTGAAGGTTTCTGAACATTTTGGCATACCTCAGAAAAAATGGATGAAATTGTGTATGTGTGTGTGTGTGTATGTATGCAAGGATACAATTTTTCGTCCACGTTTTCGGGCGCACGGATCAACCGATTTAGATGGTTCAAAAAACATTCGATTCCTATTGAAAGGAAACTGTGCTGATTAGTTTTTGACAAAGGCAGGTCCAGACGTTTCGGAGATACAGAGCAAAGAATGCAAAAAATAGAAATCGAGTTTTTGAGAGATCGGAGTATCCGATTTGAATAATCTAAAAAACATTCAATTAGTAATGATTGGGAGAAGTGGTTATTAGTTTTTGGCAAAGGCAGGCCCAGCCATTTCAAAGATACAGAGCTAAATGTGCAAAATATGGCAGTTTTTGAGAAAACTAAGCATCCAATTTGAATGATTTAAAAAAAAATAGCTTGTGTTGAAAAAACGATTGCTTTTGAGGAAAGATTTAAAACTAATTCGGATTCTAGTTTCTAGCTAAAGTTCTAAACATTACTTATATATAATACTTCAAATAAATAATTTTAACTTTGCAATTTAGTTTATATAATTCTTATAAATATTATACAATGTCCTTCATTTCAAATCGGATTGATTAAGTTTTGTTAATTTAATTTTTATAGAATAAGAATAATAAAAGTTACTATATTTATAATAATTTATTTGAAAACATTTAATATTCCTGGAATATTTCATTAAGGTATGGGAAGTTTCAGCAATTTACCTTAAGGCACGATGCCATGCACCACTAGTTTATCTTACTCATTGATATATTGTTAAATTCGTACAAATTCAATTTTCAAGCGAATTACCGTAGTAAGTCGATTAATAATTATATTATTTAATTAAACTAGTCGTCCAAAGCCAATGTATTGTAAACAATACTTTTGTCATTATTTCCTCGTTAACCTGATAATAGTCAAACACGATGTTCTTTAATGCCGTGACCAACTTTCAAAGAATTTTAAATATATATTTTACGGTTCTTATGCAAAAGTTCTTATTATCTTCATTTGTTCTACTGTCCCTGATGACATGTGCATATAAGACATTTTAATTAGAATATATTAATTGTTATATCGCAATTGAGGTTGAATAGTACACGATCAATTATTATTATAAGGTTTTCAATAATCAATAGCGATAAATAGGTTACTGTGACGATGTGAGATTATTTTTTGTCTTTAGTTGATTTAGGTATTATTAGCCTTCGATGACATTAATAATTAAACTTCAAGAACTTTGATAGTTGGAAAATGAAATGCAAGGTGGAATTAATTACTAAGTTATATCCGGCTGGTTGAAGATAAATTTCAATTAATATCTGTGTAAAAAACATCGTTCAATATGTTGTACATTGATTAATAATTAATGACGCAGAACTATTGAAGTTTTTATTATACAATAATATGTTTTAGTTGAAATATATTATCATTTATGTGGAACTAAACATTTCGATAACGTGGTATTTTAATTTAGAAATTTTATTGATATACTATAAAGTAAATGAGATGTAAAAATACTTGTAAAAATATTTCCAAAAATAATTATAATTATATTATAGAATATAATTAGCAATAAATATTAGATTAAACTACTGACATCAAATAACATGCCATGTTCTGGCACCATTCGAGAAAACATCTATCATTTATACCTATCTAAATAAAAACGATGTGATCTAGTTTAAAATAACAAAAACTGTGACCACAATCTAATTGAATGTAGGTAATTGTTTCACGAATTTGTTCTAGGTTGTGATGGTCGTGAACGGGACATCATACGCCGCTTTGGGCTGGAGACCGCGATCTCTCACCGCCAAATGCAGAAACTTCCCGCAGATTGGAAAGAAAATTGCTGCCACGGCAGATACAACAACAGGTAGATAAATGTAATAGAAATAAATTAATCAACAATAATATTTCTGTGAGAAATTTAAGTGGAGTTATAAAACGCAATGATGAATTTGCTATAATGTTCCAAGAGGTATACATACATACTCCAATTTAGGGAGTGTCCATTAATCACGTGATCGATTTTTTAAGGATTTTTGCACCCTATTCGAAATCACTCTTTCTCCCCCACCAAACATCATGTCTATTTTTAGTTACAAGAAAAAATGGTAAAAATCTCTCGTGATTAATGAGCACCCCCTTAGAGCAATAGGAATGTGGAGTAGCAATCACTAGTTTCGAGTTCGATCGCATTCTCGGCCAGCTTGATATCAAGTAATATAATATCAGATTTTTGCTTGAAGTTATAGATCTCAAATATGACTAAATGAGAAAATAGTCTTTCGGAGACATTGCTGGATATCAATAAAAAGTAAAAAAAAATGTCATCGTATAGAAATGTGTTACATCTAAAAAAGGACTACTTTTGGGTTGCCTTTCACACTAACCATAAGTTAATGATATCAAAACGATTTCTAAAAACTATATACACTTTTGTAAAATAAGAAAAAATATAAAAAAGTGGTTAACGCGTAGGTTCTTAATCAGGCGGATCGCAATAAAATAATCAATTATAGATCAATCGACCGTTCGGTTACTATCTAAAAATATGACGTAAGAAGAAGTTTCAGCTCAATAGCTTGTAAATCATAAGATTCTGATTGCTGTTAAAATAAGAGAAAAAAGAAGTTCGATTTATGTTGAACTACCCGGTGCACCAAATTGAAGTGACCACCATTATTGCCATAAGAGTAAAATACATTAGTTCATTTTTGCTATGAAAACTTTTTTGCAAAATTATGTTGCATTCATAATTGTCGTAAACTTTATAATTATTCGTAAATTACAAACAGTCTATTATACGAATACTGTTAGACATAAAATAATAATTTAATTACATCATGAAATGCATATATAAATGAACACTTCCATAACAGTTCCATATTCCACGGAATGACAACACCGACCTGCGGCACGAACATTTCACGGAGCACGACATCGTAATAATAGAGTCATTAAGTTTATAATTACCACTTCAATAAGATAAAAGCCCATTATGATCACAGTTAGCCTAAAATCATAATATCTTATATCAAAAATTATTACGAAACTAATCGGAATCGTGCCGCGTTTGATGGAACGAGATTGTCATGGTATAGTGTAGCGGCATTTGAACTTTTTAGCTTTCAAATTAAATTTCATAGTCTTGGGACATGAAAATTTATTATATGTGTTTGAATATAATGAAGATGATTATATTAAAAGACTTTGTATTTAATTAAAATTAGATATCTTTTTGTAGCCTTGATTAGAATGCTCACTTTATATTGGAATATCAATGAATGTATGAACATAAGAAATAAACTTTTTGTTCATTCCTAACTTATTTTTTAACATAGTCCAGTCATTATAGTAAGTTCACCTCGGAATTCAAGATACCCAACTGTATGTAAATGCTTGTATATTGATACCCTAAAGTTGTCTCAAAACCTACATATGGTATTGACATCTTACCATATGTAGGTTTTGAGATAACTTTAGGGTATCAATATACAAGTATTTACAGACTTACAGCTGGGTATCTTGAATTTCGAAATTCTTACCTGATTTAAGCTTAAATGACTGGACTATTATAATTTACTTCTCCAACACGTAACGTGGACATAAATACTTTGCAGTAATACTGATAAGAATTGTCAATGAGTATGAAGATTGAAGATTTTTATAGTTCAACAGCAATCAGAACCAAATTCAGTGTATTTAGAAGGCAACCCATTTGTTGATCATATTCTTTCTAATGGTATTATTTTAGATATATTTCTAGTGGTGTGAATATACATTGTAGCAAAGCCCTAAAAGAAATTGTTAAAGTATACATTAAAGAAATACCAGAACTAAAAAAGGACAAATAGTGGATTGCCTTCCATAAAAAACATATGCTAAAGATCGCTATTAAGAAAACTTAAAATAAAGAAACGTAGAAATCACTAGTTTCAGGATCAATCCCATGCTCGCCCAGCTTGATATCAAGAAGTATGATATAAGATTTGCACTTGAAATTACAGATCTCAAATATGATCAAGTGAGAATAGTCTTTCAGTGACATCGCTGGATATTAATAAAAAATCACAAAATATATTATCATGGTATAAAATAGTTTGAGTTCGATGACCAGCTCGACTAGCTTGATATCGAGCAGTGAAGGTAACAGATAGCACTTGAAATATTAGAAATCTATGATCTCCATGAAAATCTGGTATAACAACTGGACCAAGAACTACTTAACCTTATGAACAACGGTTTATTGAACAATTTTGCACTAATTTAAATAAACATATGTCTAAAATTAATCTTATAGTACAAAGTTTATTAAATGCATTTACATCTTACAGCAATGCCCTAAAAAGCTATTAAAATTGATATCATATTAGAGATTTATGATCTCCAGTAAAAATCTCGTATAACAACTTTACCAAGAGCTACTGAACTATTTGAATAACTGTGTGTTCTTGAGAAATCAAAACAAATAGTAATTTAGACAATCATATGTATCAATTTTAACATTATATGACAACGATTATTTTAATGCATATGCAACTTGCTCATAAAAGTGAACCATCTGGCAGTCTTGTCAGGTGCTTGTGCAGGTAGAAATTGCCTGGTAATTGGATTTTTAAACTTGTCAATAAATAAATAAAATCGTATTAAAATTTGATCGTATTAAACAGGAATAAGTTCAATTTTTGGGTATTTTTTTGCATTTTCAAACTCCTGGTGGATAATGATTTGGATTAGAATTGGACTGAAACCTGTCATGCTATGGTTTTCGTATGTATAATGCTTAGAATCTCTTGCACAGATTTTTTTAGCCTTACAAGAACACCCTTAGTCTAAAGCTTCAATTGATCGCCGCCTATACTGCTTGATATCAAACTGACTGAGGTGGATATCTAACCCGGAATCAGTTTTTACTAATCCAAAGAGCATTGACCAGCTCACGAATAAAACATCAATCTATTATTCTCTATATTATTACATAAGATGCAAAAATACTCATACTCTGAAACCGCAGATAAACTTCAATCGACAACACGGAAAAAACTATGAATGGTGAAAGTAGTTCATTATTATAATAGCTCATATTAATTCATTTCAAGCTAAAAAAATTACCATTACTTCATTATGCGTGAGTTTTGTAATGCAGCAATCAGTAACATTGTTGGTATACAAACAAAACAATCTTATTGTTCTGCTTGAGAAAATTCTAATGAACCGAGAACACGGGATTAGAAAAACGGGATAAAATGCATTTATATGAAAAACTTTATACAAATTTACTATAGTCTGCAATTTTATTGGTTTTAAAAAATGAACAATTTAACTATCTGTTACTTCCATGTTAGTTCTTTGTTCATGTTTCTAGTTCCATATAATTAATAATCACTATGATTTTATAATAGAACCAGAACCGGAACCGACAAGCGAACCAAGCGCCGAACCAGAGCCTGAACCAACTAGTGAACCTACTGCAGAACCAGAACCACACAGTGGGGAAAAAACCAAGACGAAACGTGTGGCCAGGCCTGCTGCCAATGAAGAACTAACTTCGGAACCAGATGTCACGGTGCAAACCAGCGTCAGTTATAGAGTCAGTACCAGACACGGTTAGTAGAAAAAAATTAAATATTTTTAAATACATGACCAAAACTTAAGATGTATTATTTACGAGGTTAAATATACTATCATGGGTTCGTCGTGGCGAAGGTCGTTAACGCGTTGACTTTGTATGGACAGGGTTGCGCTTTCGATTCCCCGCTCCGGCAATCTGACATCGGGCAGCGCGATGTCAATTTTCAATTGAAAATATAGATCAAAATATGTTTCCAATTGAAAATAAGTCCATCTCGAGCACTGCGGTGTGAAATGGCAATGGGAAATCTCTCACACTATTCTTCCCTGAATCGAGTTGGAGTTTTAACTCAGTTCACGGACCTGCCCTAGGGCAGTACACCCATTATTATTTATTATATACTATCATAGTAATAAGAGCCCAAAAAATATGATCTGATTAGTTAAACAAATTAGTGAAAACGATTATAATATTTACAGCAATTTTTTTATTCCAGGTCGCAGAAAGCGTGAAGCAGAAGGTTCGTATTCATTATTTTATACAAAATTAGTTTAGGTTCTCATAACTAGAAGTTTGATTTGATAGCTAAATGAAAAATGGAGTAATTAGCGTGTACATAACACAGACACCTTTCACCTCACACTATATAGACTGAGCACTTTGATATATTTGCACCAACTATACTATTTGCTCTCTAATAATACTGAAGGATGTTATCTATATAAGTACTTCTAAATACTAATTTTGGGATCTTCAGATTGATTTAACTAAACAGATATTAGATTAAGACTAGAGTGATTTTTGATGACTCTTGTGTAGTCTGATTATTAGAGGAATTTTATTTAGTCATTTAGTTAATGCAAATAAATTAGAAACGTAATTATGAAAAATAACCATAGGAAAACTTAAGGAAATACGTGCATTTGCACCACATAAATGTAATATATACATGCATAATTTTCACTAGCATATCTAAATTTCACAACATCCATCGCAATAACGTAGTACATGAAAAAAAATGATTTTTTTTAAAAGTGTTTCTTAATATTTGCGATGGTGATAATTCTACTTTAAAATAAATATAATTGATGAGTCAGACTATTTCTATATTTTACATATCACCAGAACCATTTTTGGTACTAAAAATAGTACACGATAAGATACCTTAACTTTTTCAAATATTCAACTTGTATCCCTTTTCCTTGAGAGGCACAGTTTGATTTTTATATGTGGTGAAATCTATTGCACGTTTATCGCGTCTATCAGGTTCTTCTGTGCGTCCAAGTTCCGAAACCGATTGGGGCGAATCCTATACAATTACTCAGCCATCAACAGAAAACTTGAGCGAACCACAAGAGGGCATCAGAAAATCCAAAACAGCATTCATTGATTTCCACGATGCCGAACCAGTTTCAGCAGCTGAACCGAGCGCTGAACCAGAACCCGGCTCTGAACCAGAACCAAGTTCTGAACCCGAACCAGCATCTGCTGAACCAGAACCAAGCTCGGAACCAAACGCAGAACCGGAGCCTACGAGTGAACCAAACGCAGAACCGGAACCTAAATCCGAGCCAGAACCTAAATCTGAACCTGAACCTACTTCAGAACCTACATCAGAACCCGCTTCTGAACCTGAGCCAAAATCTGAACCAGAACCGAAATCTGAGCCAGAACCGAGTTCCGAACCGGAACCCAGCTCTGAGCCAGAACCCAGTTCAGAGCCTGAACCAAGTTCAGAGCCAGAGCCTAGCTCAGAACCTGAACCAACGTCGGAACCCGAACCAAAATCAGAACCTGAACCAGAACCTAAATCAGAGCCGGAACCTAGTTCAAAATCAGAGTCAACCACAGCTAAAGGTATAACAGTAGAAATATTAAAATTTATTGCTTCTAGAGTTATAAATTTTGAAAATTATTAACTTAGGTAATATTACTCTGTACATAATGTAAATATTCTTCATATATTGTAGTATGGTATTTAAAAATCTTAAACTTGGTATAACAGTACTAATGTTTTTCTTTATACTTCATTATTATAAGACTGTCCTAGTGAAAGTATTACTAATATCTGACTTCTTTGATAAAAGCATCTTATTAAATATATAATCAATTTTTAGCATATTTGCTAGATTTGCATATAACTAAGATTTGATAGACTCAGATGTTAAAAATATAAATTGATAAAAGTAATGGTGTCAGCATATCTCGTTGATATACAATAATGTTTGATTCAATAATGACTCAAAAATTATACCTGTGAATCAGTATCTTTATCAACTGCTTATCTGACATCAATACTTAGTAATGATATAATGCAATTTATAATGTAATCCAATTGTCCAGCTGCCAAATCAGCACCCGTCAGCAAGTCTGCTCAAGCTCAATCAGATTCTTACGCTCCTAAACACGATTTCAGTCCAATGGATTGTACAGATATCGTGATTGGTACAGCCAGAGGCACAGCTAGCAGGATTTGGGACTATTACACCAGAGACAGGTCAGGAAACAAAATTTGGTTGTCTTGGAACAGATCATTAACAGTTGTCTTACATTCCACAGATCGACACCAAGAATGGATACATTCTGGGGAGGCAAAAGTGATTTGACAGCTGCTATGGGCTTTGAAAAAGATGGCGTGACAACAATTCTATTCAGGAAGAAGTTACAAGCTACAGAACCCACGGATCATTCATTTGAGAAGGAGTTGATGCATGTCATATGGGCTAGGGGACAAGTAATGAATGCAATATGTAAAACAAACAACCAATTTATATGTTAACAATACTGTACGTTTCATGTAGGAATTTGGACATTATGTCCATAATCCGCCATCAGGCATTGAAAAAGAAGCGGTATCTATGAAAGATTTCTACAAAGCAGATGAACTTAAATACCATGGACATGGAAGTCAAAGAGGAGCTCTGACACTTAATTTCTTTGGTAATTATAAAGAAAATTGTAAAAATTATTGACCATAAAAAAACTTGGAATGATTTATCAAAATGTCTGATCATAACTCAAGATGCTACCACCAGCATTACGTCAATTATTTATATCTTATGTTTTTGATATTTTGGTTCTGTCTTAGATGAAGCAAAGCCCACACCAAATTCTTCTGGTTCTGCATCAGTAATTGGTGATTGTGGAGGATCATGGGGAACTCCACGAGGTTGTGACCCTGAACAAAAAGATAAAGCTGGTTCCTGCGAATATCATGCATCTTGGGAACTCACAGATCGAGGAGATGCAATGCGATTTACTATTAAGACCACACATACAGATACTTGGACAGGAGTTGGCTTCTCTGATGATGATAAGATGGTAAGATTATTTCTTGAAAATTATATTTAGTTCTCCTAAAAACTGATAATCGGAATCAAAAAGCAATTTAGGTAAAACAAACCTTTAATAATTCTATCTTTTACCACCGTAGTCGCAAACAGATGCAGTCTTAGGGTGGGTTGACAAAGGTGGACGTCCATTCTTGATGGACGCATGGATTAATGGCTACGGAATGCCAAAGCTTGATGATTCTCAAGATATCTACAACACCAGTGCTAAATTGCAAGATGGGGTCACAACGATATCGTTTACAAGAAAAAGAATTAGCAAAGATAAATCACAGGTTTGTCAAAGTTCATTGAAGTTAAATTCCAACGGTTTACATGTCTCAACTTTAACATTTGTAATTTTTAATAACTTTTACGTATGCAAATTTGTTGTAATATAATTATAGTACTCAGATGCGTCATTTTATTATCCAGAGGTTAAATCATTTATATAATTCCAGGATTTATCTTTCACTGAAGATCATTGCTTATACATGATGTTCCCAGTTCATGGAGGTGCTTTTAATAGTGTGAATAAAAAAACAAGAAGGCATACTACAACTCCGGTTGTATCAGAAAAACGTATTTGCATCAAGAGTTGCGGAAGAGGTCAGTTATAAAATTATATAGGATGTGTAACAAACAAGAAATTTTTAATACAAATTAGAATTCTCATCATTATGTGTCAACAATTAATATGAATAATTTTATCTAGACATTGGCCGTGAAGAAGCAACTACCCGTCCACCTCCTCCACGTCTAGTTTACACAATGCAAGTAAAACTTACTCAGCTTGCCGAAGGTTTTACAGCACCTGACACCAATAGTGAAGATTTTGATCAACTTGCAAACACTGTTACTGGAGCATTCCGTGGACCCCTGGAACATTTGCCTGGTTTCAGCAGCCTTGATGTAATGGAATTCCAAGAGTAAGAAACTTTTATATAAATTAGCAAAATTTTCATTTGATCATGTACTTTAATCTTGTTATATCTTTGTTATTTAGCTTGGATGGAGCTGTGATAGCAAAAATGCGTTTATTACTTGACAAAGCTTCTTACGAAAAGGGCAGATCACTGGATCCTGTCAGCAATGATGTCGATGTTGTAGCAGATTCCGAAGAGCAAGTTAAAAGCGCTATTAGAGATACTCTTGCTCCTGGCAAAGTTGGAAATTTGAATGTTGATCCAGGATTCTTGGTTTTTGAAAGCCATAGTTGTGAGTATATTAATATATTAGCAACAGTTATTAGTTCAGAGGTCCATAAAGATTAATTTGTCCTAGCAAGTGATGCTTTATCATCATTGCTTACAATGAATTTATTTGTAAGATTTTTTGGATAATTTATAATGATGATACTTTTTCCTTAGTAACTTCTGCACCAGTTTTGGAATCTTCTGAAGATTTTGGAGGTGGCTTTTTCCGACTTACTGGTACCAGATTGTATTCAGTCCTTGGTTGTATAGCAGCCCTGGTTTTAGTCGCGATTATTCAAGCAGGTTGCACAATATACAAGACCAGCAGAGGAGGAAGCAATCAAAAGGTTAGATATGATTCAAATTTCCTACTAACACCAAATGTATTTTACGAATATGAACTTATTATAATATATTCGTTTCATAGTCATTTTTACATGCCCAGTAAATAATTTAATAAAATATTTCGTTAATGTATATAATGCAAACTTTATCTCCGCCCATCTATCTAAAAGTATTTTATGCGATTAGGTTTTATTGTAAATATTCTTTTACATACTCTCTCTTTTTAGTTGTAAATAGACTTTCTTTATGGGTTCGTATTTTTTCTACCTTACATTGAAAAAAAAAAATAGTTCAAACTTTGTAGGAATATAAAAGTAAACTATAACTTTATACTATAATATCTTACTTATTATCTTTATCTTTATCTATAATTGAATTCAGCCGTTATATAAGCAATTACTAGTTATCAAATTGAGGCACCAAAGTGTAATTCAAAATAATTGCACAAAAACACAAAAACCAAAAAATCTATAAAATGATGTCAAAATGTACAAAATATTGTGGGAACATATAAATAAAATGGTTATACGAATTTCAAACAATTACTCCCACCGCCATACATTTTATAACAAATTTTATTGCAAAAATTATACGCCAAAAAGTGCAAATCAACAGCTCATAACGTTTTATTAATCTATGCTTCTAAAATTAAAACTATTCAACGTCTACATTTATATAACATCTCTCAATTTAGATGTCAAATTAGTCAGAAACATGTTGAGAAAATTTCATTTCAATCCCAAAAATGGTATTATATCAAAATAGTGTTTAGTACATCAACAAAGAAAATATTTTGAGCCAATAAAATAAATAATTTTGAGCCAAAAAATGAAGTAACTCTATACGTATTTTCAAAAAACCGATATCTTTAGATATTTTTTTTCTCATCTTAAACATCACGAAATATGAAATTTCTAAAAAAGATGTGAATTACCTAGTAAGTATTTTTACTTATAAACAAAAAAAAATATTGATAATGATCACCTAGTAATAATCACCCAGAATTTCTGAGTTATAATAATTGAAGATTTTCATATAACCTTCAGTAAACTGCACGTATTTTCTATTCAAATCCGATTTTTCATTTATAAATTTTTAAAAGAATTTACATCTAGTAGTGGCAAATTGCTAGAACTTTTCGTATCAAAAAATATAATTCTTAGGAAACATTTAAAATTTTGAAAAACTAGAAAGTTTTGAAAAAAATACTTGAGAATTTTAAATTTTTTTAAAAAATTGACTTGAAAAATCTGTTTTAAAATATCCTGTAAATTTTGAACTTTAGCTGCTTAAATACATAAAATCGAAGCGCGTAAGCGCGGCGACACATAATAACGGATAAACATTGGTACGGAGCCCATAGAAATGTAAACAAAAAAGTTGTTTTTATTATTAAAAACTCTATAAAATAACTGATAATTTGATTCGCATGTATATAATGATCATTTTTGACTGCCAAATGACATTTTTTTTTATTTCCAAAACCTCTAGACCAGCCGAAAAATTTTATCGGTTTTTCAATTTATCTAAGGTATGCCAAAATGGTCAGAAACCTTTGAAACATAAAGATATGTAAATATTTTGAACTTAAATTTATTTGCAGTAACTTTAACTTACCCTTTGGGGTTAAAAAAAAGGTTAAGATTAGATTATATAGGTAATTCAAAATCTTAGTGAAATATAACACCAATGCATTTTTTTTTCGTGACTTAAATGTATTTTGAATGATTTTTTTTTCATTTTACCATATAATTTACAACTGTCTTTGGTCGACATCTAGTAAATTTAAAGATAATACAACGATAAAGATGATAAATTACATATGACAAATAAATTGACAATTACTTGAGCAATGAGCGGGAGTTAATTATGTTAGTTATGACAATTACTTGAGCGGGAGTTAGTTATGTTTGAACCGCCAACAAGTACAGATTAAAAATATCAACACCCAATTATGTAAGTTAGAATTTAAAATAAAATCAATAAATCTTAAAAAGTGTTTGTTTTTACATATCAAGAAGAGAACCCATAATTAATATCTCATCAAGTAAAAGTAGCCAGTGTTACTTCTACTTCATGAATAAAATTTAAATTCGGAACCCTTTAAATCCCGTGGGAACTAAAAAAAATCTATTTACTTTAGTCGTGTAACTTTGAAAAAAAACACATGATGTTTAAAAAAATCAAAGACACTTAGCAAATACCTCCCCGACTAGCATAATTCCATCCATCCAATCTCTTATACTTTTGCCCTAATCCAGCACGTTTACGCGATACCTCTGGACGGGCGCAGCACGTCGTCCATCGGCGCCTACAATCCGAATACAAACGAGGCCTTGTCCTACTGGAACTCGCCGCTTCAGGCCCACCCTGGGCGCGACTCGTCCGGGTCGCCGCGATCCTACCAACAACAGCATCATCATCACCAACAAGAAGCCCAAAACCACCGGGATCTGCTCACAGAACAACAGCGTCTTTACGAACAACAGTATTATCAAAGACAGTACAGGCAGCATCTCAAATCCAACTGGTAGAAAAGCGCGATGATTTCAAAAAAATAAATGTTATAGGAAGTTACTTAAACGTGCGTGTCCGCTTTTTTATTTTTTTGGATTTTTTTTTGCTATTTGGTTTAACAGTTGCGCAAAAGGTGTTTATATTGATGTAGAACTCACAAACTCACTGATTGTTAGATGTTTTTATTATTTGTCTGGGCTAAGCTGAGAAAAGGAAGCATCAAAATTGCGGGTTGATTAAAATTTATGCTTTTTGTACAAATTGGAAACAACTAACAGCAAAACTATGATTTACCATTTTATTCGCAAATAAGATTTCAGTTTAACTACCATGAAGCCTTTACTAATACAGCGTTTTTCAAAACCAAAATTTCAAATATATTTATTCCATCTAAATTCATTACAAACTGATCACGTGATTCAAAATATGATATGGTATGAGCAAATTTGATATCCTGTCCAAACTTCTAATTTTCAAGTTTGTTTTTGCACACTCAGTAAGTAAAAGTTGAAATCAATAAAAAACGTATGCATCAAAATAGACATTCACAATCATAAAAAACGGGCGAGATTTTGATTCATACAAAAATAGCTAAAACCCAAAATAGCCCATGCAAATATATCAGCAATTTTTTTCTATTTTATTATTTTTTTTATATGTGAAAAATATTTCTATTACATCGACTATTCTTATGATGAGCCTGTTGTCTTTGAAAGATTTTATTAGTAGCATGTTAGTTTGGTGGTTATGTACTGCACAGTTTCAGGATGGTGATGGTGATGCAAGTTGTGGTAAAATTTTGATTTATTTTTATTTATTGATATGCACATATTTATTATTTGATGTTGCACAATTGTACAATACGCACCTGCTTAAATAGAACGATCGACTGCTAGTACTTACGATAGGAATTGTTTTGTTATGATTTTGATAAACGATTCTGAAAGAAAGTTCTGAAGGGATGACAAATAGATAGCATTGACGTGCCATGCTATTGTTTGGGCACATAAACAGTTACTTTACGTAATTCATTCAAAATATCATGATTGATACAACTTACTATGATGGCCTTTCTTAGCCCATTGTATATATAACATGATACATAGAAATAAAATATTCAAATGATAGAAGTATTGAAAATTTCTACAATGTTTGGTTTGCATTTTATATTTGTTTATATTTTAAACACTGGCCAATCATTTTGAAGAGTAAAAAATATTACATTTTACTTAATAACATGTAATTATGTTTTCGGGATTTTTGATGATGATAAATTGCCAGCGAATGCAGTCGATATTTGCTTCACTAAATACACCAATTCATCTAAATATTTTATTTCACGTTGACATTTTTCTATGTTCAGGACCAATTAATACCACACTCTGCCTGGAAGGACTACAGTGCAGCCAACACCAACTACGCTTTTGATGCCTTCGAGACTGAAGAGAAGCACCCGACCAACGGAGGAGCTCATCCAAGGACCCCAACAAAAGTTTACAACACAAACCTACCACCTAGTAAACAAGCAGCAGCTGCAATTTTATCTTCAACCCAAACACTACCTTATTATGAACACAGCAGAAGTTTACAAAGATCAAACGGGAAATCAAATAATAACTACAGCCATGGCGGGTACCAGCAAGGACACTCGCCGCCAGTCAGTTACCAGATGCAACCAGACAGAAGCACTTATTCTCTTCCCAGGACAAACACGGACATGCTTTAGGAAACTCTGGAATGCATAACGGTATTATACCCAAGACAGGAGGGCACACAGGAATCAAGGACATCAGCAACAACACGTTGGCGATATGCCCGCGGATTTCTACTTCATGCCTTCTCAACGCAAATAAGTGGTGAAGTGGTCAGGTGTCGTGGACTATAACGAACCCAAAGTGAACAGTAGTATTTATAGAAAATATAAAAAAGTCATGCTAGTTTTTGTTTAAACAAAAATTATGGACGCAAGTTCATATAACTAATAACGACTTAAATTTAAGTATCGAATTTGTCTGAAGATTGCCGGTCAGTTCAATATAATCAAACTAATTTAATTTAACACAAGCTTTTTAAATTCTGTTTTGAAGTTAGTTTTTATCAAATTTGTGTAAATACTTTATATAATATAATATGTATACATGTGTATACAATGTGGGTGGTTCTTAAAATGATCACTTTTGAATTTTCTTGCTCCCTGGGGCTCAAATGGTTCCAATTGATAAAAAACAATTCTCTGAAAGTTTTTGCTCTTAATATTAACGATTAGATGAAGCGCAATTCAATCAAAGTTTGTATGGAAAGAGCATGGAGAAAATTTTGAAAATTAAAAAAAATGATTTAGGTATAACTTAGCGACAAATGAATGATTTTATTTCATTCATTTGTTCGCTAAATTATATCGAAAACATTTTTAAAATCTTGAAATTTTTCCATGCTATTTCTATACAACTTTTTAATTGCGCTTTATCTAAACGTTAATATTAATAAGAGCTAAAACTATCAGAGAATTGTTTTTTATCTATTTGGAATCATTTGAGCCCCTGGGAGCAAGGAAATTCGAAAATGACTATTTTAAGGACCACCCTAATATA